TCTCACCTCCACTGCTGTGCTTGCTATGTTCCTGGGAAAACCCCGATGGAATTAAGTCTAACCAATACTCTGTTTCTGCTTCTATACCTCCTCCTTGCAATCCTATAAAACTGCCAGTCTGAGCCAGGTGTGGTGGCACATGCCTGTAAACCCAGTACTCGGGAGGCTGAGGCAGGAGGATCACTGTGAGTTCGAGACCAGCCTGGACTACACAGTGAGTTCCAGGTCAGTCTCAACTACATAGTGAGACCCTGCCTCAAAAAGTAAAACTGCCAGTCTACCAATATTCTAGACCTGGTCTCTTTGGGGAAAGATCCCAGTTGGTTGGGTTCACCGGTGTAAATAAAGCCTCCAAATCTCTGGGTGCCAACCGTGCCTGTTTCCTCGTTCTGGTATTCCACAACAATGGGGCTGTGGCCCCCTCTCTGCCTCTTTCCCTGACTGTTTCTTGGCTGCTGTAAAGTAAGCTTCTTTCTTCTATGCTTTTAACCATGGATGGGAATCTGAGACTATGAGGTGTGATAAAAAAAATATTGTGAATGTTGCTGCCCAGTGCTAACTGAAAGGGAGGCTGGTAAAACCATGGTGTGTCTTCATCTACCTTCTTCACTGGACCTGGCACTGTGTAACTTCTGGCTCTTCCTCAAAATCAATATGACCACAAAAGGTAAACGTTTCAGATTGATTCAGGACATTGAAGCAGTCACAACAGCACAACTGAAGATGTTCTTGAAAGAGGATTTTCAGAACTTCTCCAGGAAGTGGCAAGAATGATGGGAAAGTGTGTGCAAAGGAAGGGAGACTTTTGTTTTGTTTGGGTTTGATGTTTTGTTTTGTTTTGTTTTTGGTACTCGGGATCAAACTCAGGTCCTTGTGCTTGCGAGGCAGGCGGTGGAACCACTGAACTAAATCCCCAGCCCTGGCTTTTGGTTTTTTGAGACAGGGTCTTGCTTTGTAGTACAGAATGACCCTGACCTTACTAACACAATCCAGGCTGGCCTCAAACTCCTGGTGATCCTCCTGCCTCAGCCTCTTGCATGTTTGGATTATAGGCATGGGGCACCACACCCAGCTGGAAGGAGGAGTATTTTTTAGGGTGATTAATGATGTTTCTTTTACTGTATTTTCTTTTAATTTAAACATTCACTATATTTTTCTATCACACCCTGTATTTGGTCACAGCAATGAAAAGCCAAATATACAGGCTTTTTTTCTGTTTTCTGTTTTGTTTGTGTCTTTATCAAGAATAAGTGTATGTTTCCTTCAGTAATATTATAAACATGAAACAGTGTCATCAACTAAACAACTGTGTGATATTTTACATCCTTTTAAAAATTAATTTTATTAGTACTCTTTTGGCACACGTAATAATCACGTTCATCATGGGGAAATTTGTACCTGTACATAATGTGTCTTAATTCTATTTTTTTCCATTCCCTCCCCTCCCTTGGCTTCAGTCCTCCTTCCCATCTCCCTTTACAAAACTCTGTTTCTACTGTTTTCCTTCCATTATGTTTTAATCCTTATTACCTCCTTTTCCTTCCCCTTTCCCTTCCCTTATTCCCCTTCTCATTTGAACATTTTCTTCCTACTTCCCAATATCTGTTATCCATTTTGGTCCTTATTGACCCTACAGGTTTCTCACAAAAGAGAAACAATGAGATATTTAAACATACGTGGCCAATGTATTTCACTTAAAATTATGGTCTTGGGCTGGGGATTTAGCTCCTTGGTGCCACCACCTGCCTCGCAAGCTCAAGGTCCTGAGTTCAAACCCTGATACTAAAATAACAACAACAGCAACAACAAATTACGGTTTCAAGGTGCACCTATTTACCTAAAAATGTCTCAAGTTTATCCTTCTTTATGGCAGAGTAGCACCGTGCTGTATATAAAAACCACATTTTATTTATCCATTCATCCATTGATGGGCATCTGGACTGTTTCCAAGGTTTAGCTATTATAAATTGTGTTGCTTGCTGGGGATTGTGGTGCTGTGCCTGCTTTGTAGGGTCCTGAGTTCAATCCCTAGTACCAGAAAAAAAGAAAAATAAATTGTGCTGCTATAAACATGGGTATGCATGTATCACTGTGTTGTGATGCTTTTAATTCTTCTGGGGAATATCAAGAAGGGGAACAGCTGGGTCAAATGGAACCTCTAGCTTTCATGTTTTGAAGACTCTTCATACTAATTTCCATGTGTTTGTACCAATTTACACTCCCACCAACAGTGGAGAAGGGTTCCTTTACCTCCATAGCCTCACCAGCATTTGTTATTGGTTGATTTCCTGATGATAGTCATTCTTTCTAGAGTGAGCTAGAACCTGTGTTGTTTTAATTTGCATTTCTTTTCTTTCTTTCTTTCTTTCTTTTTTTTTTTAATTCAAGCTCTTGCTATGTAGTTCAGGCTGACTTTGAACTCACTATATAGCCAGGCTGGCCTCAAACCTGTGGTGATCCTCCTGCCTCAGCCTCCCGAGTACTGGGATTACAGGCTTATACCACCATGCCTGGCCTGCATTTCTTGAATGACCAGTGATGCTGAACATTTTTCATAGGTTTATTTGCTGTTTCTACTTCTTCATCTGAGAAATGTCTATTCATTTCAGATGCCCATTTTTTGGATTGGGTCCTTAAATTTGGGAGTCTGATTTTTTTTGTCTCTATATATTCTAGATATTCTTTACTGAGTCCTGGGTTAGCTACACCAGACTGGCTTTTGCAGACTAAAACAAGATGGCAGTGGTGAGACATCCTTGTGGCAGAAGGAAGAGCTCTAGCCTTCAGCTGACAAGATTCTCTCCTTGACCAAACCCCAGCAGGCTCCTGTGAGCCCTCTTCTCAACTTGGCCCCAACTTCCATGTGTGCCAGATGGGTTTCATATGGTCCAAACCTCTTCAAGATTTTTTTCTTTACTTCCTTTGATAGAGAAAACTTCTGTAAATAATCTAAAAACCTACAAAATGTTAGGGAAATACAAAATGACTTTTGCTGTTTCTGAAAGAAATCTGCTTTGTTTAGTTCAAAATTAATAGATTGGAGGCATTGACCATGAAATGGGACATCTTGCCTCATCCCTGACCTTGAACACCCCCTTCCTGCCCACTAGAATAGATAGCTAGATGAATCTTAAGGTGAACCCTCTAACTACAAGGAATTGTTCTATCTGGGTTAAAGTGAACTGTCTTGTTACTGTAATTTGTACATGGGTAATGTGAACTGAGGAAATGAAATGTAACCACCTGAATGACATCATAGCTATAAAATCTATAAAAAGAGGAAGCTTCAACCCAGTAGGTGGTCAATCACTGGCACTACCTTTTTGAACGGGATCGACCCTTTTCTGACAAAATAAACTTTTTATTTTACTTCCATTCAGCTCACTCCATGTGCATATCACTTGCCAGTTCCTTCCACAACACTTCATTCTACTGGGCACTGTCCTTCCCTTCAGTCACCTCTGTATCATCTAACATGAGTTCGTACTGGATTCTTTTCTTTTTGCAACACTGTGTTACTGATTAAAATCTGTTCTTAGCACATGAACAGAGAACTTAGCTTGTTTTTTGTTTGTTTGTTTTGGGTACATGAGATTGAATCCAGGGCCTTCACACTAAGCTGCAATCACCAGCTTTTTAACATTTTTAGATGTGATTGCTGAGTTGCTAAATTACCCATGTAATGTGCCACCATGCTGTTTTAGTTTTGTCTACCTTTGACAGTATCCCTCAGGTCCTTCAGTGGGTGCACTTGAGTTAAATCTTTTTGTAGCCTATGTTTGGACACCATCTTCTGGTGTCTGTGAATTTCTTGAGAGTTAGAAGTTACCTTCCATCCAGCACAGCTGAGAGGAAGGTTCTTGATATGCATTTCTCACAACAAATTGAAGGGTAAAAACACCAAAATGCCTTTTTCCCCCCTTCCAGTACTGAGGATTGAACCCAGGGCCTTCACACTAAGCTACATCCCAGCACTTTTTATTTTTTATTTGGAAATAGGATCTGGCTAAATTGCTCATGGGTATTCTAAATTGCTATTATCCATCCTTAGCCTCTCAGAGCGCTGAGATTATGGGCCTGTGCCACCATGGCTGTTACCAGATAGAAGGGTGTGGGACTTGTTTCCAGGTTCTGGTAACAAAGAATGGAGCAGGACAATCAATATGAGTAACAAGCAAAACATTTATTAAAAGTGAGAGGCCAGGTATGGTGCCTGTAATCCCAACACTGGGAAGGCTGAGACAGGAGGATCGCCATGAGTATGAGGCCAGACTGGACTACATAGTGAAACCCTGTCCCAAAAAACAAAACAAAAAGTGAGAAAAACAAAGGTACACTTTACAGAGTGGAAGCAAGCCAGTGGGAAGGGTTCACAGCCTGACGGGCAGGTTCTGTGTCTCTTAAAGTGCTGGGATCCACAGAGGGACTGACACTACTCATGGCCCAAAGGGTTATCCGACTGGCCCACCCTTGGGGGGGGTAGTTTTTGATTGTACAAAGTTGTGTCAAGGAGTACAAAGCCCACAGGGTGGTTGGAGAGTGTCTCAAAACCCCAGTGCAAAACCCCAATGCAAATGCATAGGCCAGGATCAGGTACTTTTGGTTCTGCAAATGCCAGGAGTCCTTTAAACGGGGAAGCACGGTGACCTTCATCTGTTATGACTTTATGTAGTAGTCTTTACTGTGGTTTCTAATTTTTTTAGACAGGGTCTCACTATGTAGATCAGGCAGGCATTGAGCTCACTATGTAGCCCAGGCTGGCTTCAAACTCACAGTGAATAGGCATTCACCAGCCACAAGGCTCGGTTCTGCTGTACAATTTTGTTGTTTACTTGTCCTTGACCCACCTTCTACTTCAAGGCTGACTTTTTTTTTTTTAACCCAACGCAGGCTACTGGGATAGGGAGACCAGCTAAGGTCCCTCCTCGCTGGTGGTTAGGTTCCCAAGAACTTCGCCCTTCTCTTAAAGGCACCTTTACAGTTCCCCCGCTAGTGGCACTGTTGACCTGCTTCCCATGAGCCTCTGCTCCCCCACCACCCGTTTAAAAACGTGTTCTTTACCCGGCAGCTCTTGCGCGGCCCTCTTTAGCGGACAGCAAAAGGGTTCAAGATGGCTTCCGTCGGTAAGTTCCGGTCTTCTATTTGGACGCCGCGTTGCAGATAGAGGCTGGTATAAAGGTCAGAGCGTCACAAAGAAGGGAATTGGTGTGCCCTTCGCTCGGGGGCTTTATCGTGGCCTCCGTTCAGGTGCCCTGAACCCTTCCTCCCTATCCTGCGCCGTCCGACCTTTCTGCGCTCTCCGGGTCCTGGCTTCCCGCTGCCCAGGACTCCCGTAGCCCACGTTCGGGAGGGAAGGCGAGAGAACCCTGGAGAAGCGCCTTCGGGTCTAGGACTGCTTTGTTTTGGGCCACTGACCCTCTCTCAGCGAAGGAATAGCTGCTACTTTCCGCCTGAAACAGGCGCTTTGCACCTGAGCCCTATGCGCAACTTCTTTCTACCTTTCCTAAAGCTGCTGCACAAGTTAAGCTCCAGAAGGAGCTAATGCCTAGGATTGCGGTCGGCACCGTGCATACGTATTGAATAGGGTTACAGAGACGAAGTGACATATTCAAGGTCACAGCTCCTGACAGGGCTGAGCTGGGATTCAAAGCTAGGCACGTTGGGCCTTATGGTAAAGGAGGGTTATTAGCAATAATTGGCAGGCGTTTCAATGACTTGGATATGTAAATCTCTACATTAAAACACTGCACACTCTGATTTTTTTTTTTTAAATAAGAAACCGAGTTTTAGCTCTACCTCTTCCCAGTACCCTCATTAGGATTTCATTTTAAAGATGAGGAAAGTGGACCCGGGATTTAGCTCAGTGGTTCCGCCACCTGCTCACAAGCTCAAGGACCTGAGTTTGATCCCCCGATACTTAAAAAAAAAGATGAAGAAAGTAATAGTCTGAAATGTAGTGTGGCCTATTTGAGGTCACATAGCCTGGCAGAGTTTTGATTAACTCTTGTCCTAATCCCGTTTTTGTATTCTTAATCTCAGCCTGGAGAAGTGAAGTGATTAATAAAAAAGGAGAGTGAAGCTGTTACCCTATCCAAAATGGGCACGAAACCATCCCTGATCTGTAGTGATTGTGTTTAAAGGAGACAGTGTGAAAAGGGCACACTGAGACTTGGCATTTTCCTTAAGGAGAGTTGAAGTGAACAAAGTTCTGGAGTCAGGATTTAAAGATTTAATACATGAAAGATACATGGAACACTCCCTGCCCCATGGTGGAGGGCTCAGTGGTGTGAGGTGGTTACCCAGTGGCCAAGGTCATGTCATATGCCTGGCCTGTTCAGCATCACCCCAAGTAAAGAAATTGAATTTTATGTCCTAAGTACTGGTGATGATATCTTTTAGATGGTATCTGTGCAGGGGGCACAAATCTAATTTCATTACCAAACAAAGTGAGGGAAACAGGAGTTATCAGCAGTAAATAATAGCAGGGCTATGGCCAGCAGGCTGGATGTCCTGGGCCTGTTTTTGTATAGCCATGATGAATGTATGTATGTTTTTAAAGTTTTTTTTTAAAAAAAGAAACTGTTACAGAGATCTTATGTGGCATGAAAAGCCTAAAATCTTTACTCTGGTCAACTGCTGCATTGGAATTAGCAGTAAGGAAACACTTGTCATTTCTGTGCAGCTTGTTAATAAGTGGGTCTATACTTCTCCAGTCATAAAATCACCTAACCTCTCAAGAACCTGTGATTGTTCAACAACCATTAATTAGTGTTATGTGTCAGGAACTATAGGGGATGTTCCCACATTCGGTTCATAATCAAGCAGAAATGTAATGGATTCATTTACATAGTGTCTATAATGAAGTACCAAGATAGGTATTTATTATCCTTATTTACAAAGAAGGAAACGAGACAGTTTTCTGAACTAAAGCGTAGAGGGGATGTAGCTCAGTAGCACCATGCTTGCCTCAAAAGTGCAAAGTCCAGGGCTAGGGATTTAGCTCCATGGTTTTGCCTACTGCCTTGCATTCACAAGGTCCCTAGTTCCATCCCCAGTACCAAAAAAAAAAAAAAAAAAAAAAAAAAAAAAAAAAAAAAAAAAAAAAAAAAA